ATCCCAACCCCTTTCTGCTCCCCAGGGAGGGTGAGGCCTTCCTTGGGGGATCTTCAAAGTCTGCCATACCATTTGGAGCAGGGCTTATACCCTCCCCAGTGTGTCTAGCTGAGAGAGTATCCCTCTATGTGGAGAGGGCTCCCAAAGTTCATTTGTATACTAGAAGTAAATACTGATCCACTACTAGTGGCCCCATAGATAGTCCAGATCTCCAAACTGGCTTCCTCCTTCAGGGGGTCTGGAACAGTCCTATGTTGGTTTCCCAGCAGTCTGTCAGGGTTCCATGAGAAAACTCTTGTTCAGGTCAGCTGTTTCTGTAGGTTTCTCCAGCAAAGGGTCTTGACCCCTTTGCTCATCATTCCTCCCTCTCTGCAACTGGATTCCAGATATTAGCTCAGTGTTTAGCTGTGGGTGTCTGCATCTGCTTCTATCAGCTACTGGATGAAGGCTCTAGGATGACATCTCATTATCGGAGAAGGTCATTTAAGGTAGCTTCTCCACTATTGCTTAGATTGTTAGTTGGGGTCATCCTTGTAGATCTCTGGACATTTCTCTAGTTCGAGAATTCTCTTTAAACCTATAATGGCTCCCTCTATGATGGTGTCTCTTTTCTTGCTCTCCTCTATTTTTCCCCTGACTAGATCTCCCTGTTCCCTCATGACCTTCTCTCCCCTCCTCTTCTCCCCTTCTCTTTCTTCTAACTCCTTCTCCCCTCCCCCCATGGTCCCCAGTCCCTTTCCCCTTCTCTGGCGAGAACCATACCTATCACCATGCACAAAACATAAGTCCAAATGGATCAAAGACCTCAAAATAAATCCAAACTGAACCTCTTAAAAGAGAAGGTAGGTGGTACCCTCGAACAAATTGGTACAGGATAACACTTCCTGAACATAATACCAGTAGCACAGACACTGAGATTGACAATTAATAAATAGGACCTCCTGAAACTGAGAAGCTTCTGTAAGCCAAAGGACACATTCAACAAGACAAAAACAGCAGCCCACAGAATCAAAAAAGATATTCGCCAACTCCACATCTGACAGAGGGCTGATTTCCAAAATATACAAAGAACTCAAGAAGCTAGTCTCCAAAACACCAAATAATCCAATTAAAAAGTGGGATACAGAACTAAACAGACAATTCTCAATAGAGGAATATAAAATGGCTGAAAGATACATAAGAAAGTGTTCAACATCCTTAGCCATCAGAGAAATACAAATCAAAACAACTCTGAGATACCATCTTACTCCTGTCAGAATGGCTAAAATCAAAAACACCAATGACAGTTTATGCTGGAGAGGATGTGGAGAAAGGGGATCACTCCTCCACTGCTGGTGGGAGTGCCAATTGGTACAGCCACTTTGGAAATCAGTATTGTGATTCCTCCGGAAAATGGGAATCAGTCTACCCCAAGATCCAGCAACTCCACTCTTAGGCATATACTCAAAAGACTTTGTTCATAAGAATGTTCAGACTTCTAACATTTTTTGCTGATAATTTAATAAGATGAATTCAAATTGCAGTGCTAACTTGGCTGCTTCTTAAATATTGATAATCAGATATGAACAACACGTCTATGTTTGCAGTACTAACAACTTAGTATTCACACTTCCTCATCTCCCACCCCTGGCACTGTTGTGAAAGCTGGCTCTGGTTTTTAAAAAGCCTGAGATTTTAAGTAATGTAATACACAGTTGTTTGTCACCCCATTTTCCTTGCCTTTTACCTTGACTGTTGGAAAGCTCTTTTAGGAAACATAAGATCATCTCTCACTTTCATTCCCAGTATGGTATAGAAGGACCATTGTTTTTTATTGACTTCCACTGGCGATGATACCAATTCTGTTATGTAATTATCTTTAGAAATAGATCTTAAGATCAATAGTACTAAAATTCCACCATTACTTTGTAATATGATCTTGTATCATGATAAGTATTGACTACAAGTAACAGAAACTGCAAACATTAGCTTAACCTAATTGTTTGTTTTCCTTGAACAGAAATAGAATCCTAAAAATCTTGTATTGATAGAGATGCACAATTATGATTAGGGAACTTGGACCTGCCTAACTTTTTCTTTGACCATCTTTAAAATATATCTGCTACATTGTACCCTTAGACAGCTGCTTGAGTTTTAATCTTCATTTCATTTTTCATTCAATAAAGAGGAGCTGAGGATGTTTACTCTCCCTTTTGTAGTTACATATTTAAAATAAACTGCCTGGAACATAGCTAAACTATTCACGTAACATTTTAGGCATCTCGGAACCTGAGAAAAGCATTGTTTCTGTCAGGCATCAACATGCCTCACTAAAGTTTGTATGCTCTCTTGGTAAAGAGAAATGAGACAATGGTTATAAGTATGTGTGTATGCTCTTCATGTGTACACACACACACACACAGAGAAAGAGAGAGAGAGAGAGAGAGAGAGAGAGAGAGAGAGAGAGAGAGAGAGAGAGAATCACCTCTGATGATGTTTCCTTTTTCATTTTCTTTTTTCTTTTTTCTTTTTTTTTTTTTTTTTGGTTTTGGTTTTTCGAGACGGGGTTTCTCTGTGTAGCTTTGGAGCCTATCCTGGCACTCGCTCTGGAGACCAGGCTGGCCTTGAATTCACAGAGATCTGCCTGCCTCTGCCTCCCAAGTTATGGGATTAAAGGTATGTGCCACCAACGCCCGACTCTGATGATATTTCTTACTGGCCAAGGAACTCCAGATGACACCAACGCCCGACTCTGATGATATTTCTTACTGGCCAAGGAACTCCAGACTGAAAGTGTTAAGTCATTTGCCTTCATATGCCCAAAGCTCTATGGCTTCCCAATGAAATAGAAGCCCATAGTTAATATGGCAGTTATTAGTCATCTGTGTAAGTCAGACATTTTCATCAGTATGACAAATACCAAAAAGAAACAAGTTTAAAAAGAGGAAAGTCATTTTTCAACTCACACTTGCCATAATCAACTAGTTCCCTTATTTCTGTGTTATGAAAAGGCCCAAAAACATAACATAAGGCCAAGTTGGAGCAAAGATTATTTCATGGCATATAAGAAACAGAGAGGAGTATGTAGGGGAAGCTGTAGCCAGCCCCTAAGTAGGCGTGGCTACAACTTCCCCTACACAGAATGGTGTCATTGAGCAGGATGACCCCATGCCCCCAAGGTTTCCAGAGAAACAGGGAAACCTGCTACCACAGCCTGCCCTGTTGGGCCGCTGAGAGGCATTGGAGCAGCTTCCATATGCCCGCACCATCTCGTTGCTCTTGGGCGTTGGACTCGGCACTCCCAAGATAATAAAGACAGATCCAGATAAAGAGAAACCTCTAAAGGTTTACATTGCATTTAAAATTTTTGTAGGCTTGTGAGAGAAAGAAGCAGAGGCAGGCAGATTTCCACAGAGAAACCCTGTCTTAGGGAAAAATGAAACAAAAGAAAGTAAAAATAAAGTAATAAAAAAAGCAACATCAAAAACACAAATCCAGCCACATAAAGATGGAAAATCCACAGAGAATCTGGATACTATATGCCATATTGTTGTCTTTAAATTGTTTGATTGCTAAGGAAAGAATTACTGCTGCTAAAATACATTTGATTATAAATTCTACTAAATTAATCCAACTTATACATTTTAAAAATGCTTTGACTTCAGAATTTAAGTCTAAGGACAGGCTACTTAGAAATAAAGGTTTTGCTTGTATTTCCACAGAAAATCAAAAGCTGTGGATTCCTTCCAGACTAATATGGTTTGATCAAGCAAGACCCCCTGAAGCTGAGACGATACAGCCTTACAGACTACAAAAACAAGGACTTGGTCAGGTTTCTATATTTTATCATGATCCCTATGGTATATGAACATCATCCCCAATCAGCAGGAAGCAGTTTAGAAAGAACGACACCCATATTCCCAAATATTGTTTATAAATGTTTGTTTTCATTTAAATGGGGTTAGTTATAAATGATAATAAGCATAGTCAATCTTTTTAAAGAAAAAAAGGGGAATAGGATATAGGAATGAATACTTTGCATTGGTATAGATTTTCATTTATTGATACAACTTTAAGGTCAATTTTGTGATATGTATATGTCTCCTCTTGTTTAGGTATTGTGTTTATACAGATCTTTTACCTATAATAGTCAGAACTTATAATTAGGTTAGGTTTTCTAGATATACAGAGATGTATTTGAGATGGTTAGGTATTCTTCAAACCTTTCAAAGACCTATAGAAATATGGCATTTAAATGGTTTAGAGTTTTTCTTGGCAGTAAGGCACAACTGCTCCTGGCACACCAATTATGTCAGAAAGGAGGATGGGCATCAAAGAAACTCGTTATGGAGTTT